TTGAATAAACTGAATAATTTTCTTTCATCTGAAACCTGTACTTCCTCATTGTTCACTACCTATTCCAAACTGATGATAAACATATTAAAACAATACAAGTCCTGATCTTTTGGGTACTCAACTTTTTGACATATCGAAAATGAATAATTTGTTCACACCCTTTTAGTTTCTAATCAATAACAGAACTTTATCTCACACGCCTTTCTACTTAAATAGCCTCTGTGGCGAGATATTCAAAGATTATAATAGGCCCCAGTAAATTGTATTTTCTGGCTCTTCTTTTGACCGATATTGTTAAAATTATATAGGTTGAAATTCTCTAGTCCAGCACTCTGGTCTGGCAACATCCATGGTCCAGCTTTATTTTAGTTAGCTGGATGTCCACTTTTCAAGTTTCCCGTGGTCCCATACATTTTGTTTATAGCTATCAGCCCTGGCTTTCAGTGTTTTCTGCTGTTATTTAGCTCTAATGTACCACTAAATGTTTTCTAAGAGCCTAATAAGCAGTGGAAGTGTAGGTAATGCTGCTAGATAATATTAACCTCCTGATATCCAGAAAATTTTCTGGTTTGGTATTGGTCAAGTCCCGAGGGTGCCAGACTAGAGAGGTTCAACCTATAATAAATGTGAGATGCACAATTTTTCTTTTGAATAATTTTGCTTAGAGGGGTTTGGTTGGGTTTTTTTTACACTGAGGGCATCTTCTATGGTTTTATAAATATGACCTGTGGGGAAAAGGATATCTTATAAAGCCGAAGAGAGAGAGAGAGAGAGAGAGAGAGTGTCAGGAGCAGCAAAAGTGGAGCCCAACAATTTTTGGACTGAGATTTTTTTTTATTTATTGTGACATCCAAACAAAAAGATGAGTCAACGCCAGTTCTAAACGGACACACTATAAAGCAGGTGCGGCTCTTTGATTAAGGAAATGCAGCTCCTGCTGCTTCTTAACCGTGTGCCCGGACTGCTCATGGCTGGCTGCTCTGCACATACACCCAGCACCTGGAAAGAGAAGCATGTGGCAGTGGCTCCAGGACCCAAGCATTAGGTTGGAGAGGGGGAAGGAGGGTGCCTGGCTCTGGGGGCAAGGAAGGGAATTGGGTTAGAGCGGAGGCTGGGGGTGCCTGGCTCTGAGGTAGAGGAGGGGGATTGGGTTAGAACAGGGGGATTAGGGATGCCTGGCTCTGGGGGAGGGGTGGGGCATTGGGTTAGAGTGGGGGGGCAGGGTCTGAAGCACCTTAAACTCAAAGTCTTTGTGGATGCAGAATAAGGCAGCCAACACAGATGTCATATTTAAATTCCAAGGCAAAAAAAGAATCAGCATGGACCTGGTTTACACTGAGTGACTTTAAAGAAAATTCAAAGGCTATTGTTTACCAGGCTGAAGCAATTATTCTGAGATATGAGTCTCTCCCTTATTGTTTTTGAACCTCTCATATTTGCAGTCTGGGACAGATCTGAATTTTTAGAACTATAAAAAAGCCATAATCTTCATAGGTAAAAAAAAAATGAGGAAACCATACCAAAGATCAACAAGCTGGAGTGAAACAAATTGTGCACTTCAAATTGTGCTAATTTACTTCTCAGTTCAGTTTGATTTTTAAAAACTCGCAGGACAAAATAGCGTAGTAGTGTTAAATGTAAAATATATGGTGGGGATGCTTTTTTTCTTTTAAGTGTGAGAATATTACTGTATTTTTAAAATGTTTTTTTTTTAATTTGATGTTTGTTCCTTATCAAGTTCTCAGAAGATCTATGGACTGGCCATGATTTTTTTAAGTGACTAGAAACTTTTTATTGGTTTATGTCCAAAATATCCTGTAATGCTATTTTGATCACTATATTTTCTGTACTATATCTATCTATCTTTCTACATATAGATATATAAAAATAAATATATAATATGTGGCTCTTCGCACTCTATCAATTGCTATTTTAGCTCTTAGTCTCGAACTGGTTGGCCACCCCTGCTATAAAGCTTGTAGATTTTTTATACAGCTTAATTCATCTGTGGGGAAGAGATAGCTCAGTGGTTTGAGCATTAGTTTGCTAAACCCAGGGTTGTGAGTTCAATCCTTGTGGAGGCCATTTGGGGCAAGCATCTGTCAGGTATGGTACTTGATCCTACTGTGAAGGCAGGGGATTGGATGTGATGACCTTTCAAGGACCCTTCCCATTCTAGGAGATAGGCAATCTCCATAAATTTAATCTACAGTAGACTTCTGATAATCCAGGACCTAGGTGGTGTCAGATATGCCAGACTATCAGGAGGTACTATAAGCTGGTTATATATATATACACATTATATACCGTATATAAAAGTGTTAACCCTTTTTATTGTACATACAGTATACTGTAATGTTTTAGTTTTTTTAAGCCTTTTTTACCCTCTTTGCTCAGTTCAGCTGCTGCCGTTATCTTGTGACTCATTTTTTGCTGAAGCTCACTCACTAGGCTCTTGCCATTTTGATGCCGGACTACTGGAGTTTTACTGTACTAGGTTAAACATCTCAAACTTGAGTACCTAAAGCTTAGATACATATTTAGGTACATAATTTTCAAATGTATCGGACATATACAGCTGTAATAGGAATTAACAGAATTTGAGGCACTCAATATAAATACAGTGCAATACAATCATGTCAACATTTTCTAGCAGACTTTCAGGGGTATGTAGCTATTAGATGTATCTTTATCAATTGATCTATCAATATATTTTTCCAAGTCAGGAATCAAAGGAAAAACATTCCTGGAATTTAATGTCTGTGACAAGAAAATAGGTTGTGTAACCTAATTTTGATATTTTCCCCCCAGAGGAAAGAAATCAATGGCTTTTCAAGTCCTTCATCCAGAGTTCATCAATACCTGAACCTCAACAGACCAACATGAAGCTGGGAAGCATGCAAATTTTGCATCAGTTCTAATGCTACAAAAGGTGTAGGTAATAGCAGCTAAAGTCTTGATCCTGGAACTCTTAAGCACATGGATGGTCCCAATGATTTCAGTTGGGTTAGTGCTGAAAAGACTTTTAGGAGCCTGTAACTGTGGACTTTTTTCTTTTCTGCTTAACTGTTAAAAGGGATATTCAGCTCTACCAGAGACTTAGAAATGTCATCACCAAGAAGTCTGGGTTTTGACCAGATTAGAAAATGACAATGCTTTGGGTCAGGCTCTCTCAACCTCTGCTATCTAAAATATAACTCTGCAACGAATCTGGCCTATTATAAGGATAAATATCCTGACATTTTTAGAGAAAGAGCCTCCCTCTAAAATGGGGTTCTTTTAAAGAATCCCACTTGCTATATTTTGTTCTAGTTCAAAATTCCTAGATAGAATCTCACTGTGTCAGTCACTTTCATCTGCATTATGCAGTCCTGCTCCCCAACAGCTTGCTTCTTCAGCCTGTGCTCTGCCTGAGCTATTACTCATGTGAATAGCCCCACTGACTTCAGTGACTAGTCCTCATACAAGTAAGCATTCCTCAATGAAAGTAATGATGATAAAACATCAGACTTGGCTTCAAAAGTATTCAAAAGTTCCCATCACCAGTTTCAAATATTGTCCTTTCAACACACTAGTGAGACAGGGAAGTATTGGTATCCATTTTTTAAATGAAAAACAGGTAGAGAGTGTAAGGCCCAGATCCTCAAAAGGTATTTAATTGCCTAACTTCCACTGATTTCAAGGTAATCAAAGAGGTTAAAGCCAGGAATTTAACTTTCATCTGATTTACTAGTCAAGTGCCTTAATCACATTAAAAACTTATCTGTATCAGGAGCCCTTGAGCCCTTGCTTACTGGAGGAAGCAGCATCTCCTTTCAGCACTACATAATCTCTGCTGATGCTGATGAATCTAAAAAATGCAGTAACATTTTATTTGGCTATAGAAAAGAAAAAAAATCAGACCAGCAGTAACTAAGGTCTAATGGGTCAGGAGAGGCAGTAGGCTGAAGATGTAAAAAGGAATAATTTTAACTAATATTTAATCATTTTAATTTATAATTTAATAATTAAGAATAATCTTGTAAATTACAGTATTACAGGTAGTCCCCGGGTTACGTAAAAGATAGGGACTGTAGGTTTGTTCTTAAGTTGAATCTGAATGTAAGTCGGAACTGGCGTCCAGATTCAGCCGCTGCTGAAACTGACCACCTGTTCTGACTTACATACAGATTCAACTTAAGAACCCCAAGTCAGCTACTGCTGAAACTGATCAGCAGCTGATTCCAGGAAGCCCGGGGCAGAGCAACTGTGCCTCGGGCTTCCTGTAGTCAGCGCTGGTCAGTTTCAGCAACGGCTGACTTGGGGACGTCTGGGGCAGAGCAGCTGGGGTGCTGCTGGGTTGCTCCGGTAGCAC